CTTCCCACTGTCCGATCTGAAACACGTCCTGAAGCGGTGGTATATTGTATATATGTTATTTCATCAAGTACAAGTACTGGATCATTGTTGCTTGAGTTGGACTCCGGCTTTCTTTCCTGATGAGCGCTTATTTTCAAGTCATTCATTAAATTGTGGCGTGCTCAAAAGTAGCCTCTGAATAATTTGAAATTTTGAGCAGTTTATTTGCATCGTCATTGATTTGCAAAACGTCTTCGGTCGACAGAAATAAAGTCAAAAAATATTTTTTAAAAAACAAAGACCAGCATTTACCAAATTTGCTCATTAATAAAAGTTGCTATGGTTTCACTCGGTAGACGTTGTCAGCAGAACATCCAGAACTTCCACTTTGTATGCCGCTGTGGTCGTTGCTCCACAGCAACACTTCCTGAGAAAATCAATCGGATTCCACAACCAGGTAAACACTCGGAGCCGCTACAGTGCAACCAGCGGCAAACAAGGGCGTCACCTGTCTGAGAAACGAGCACGAAACAAACAGGTACTTTGTACAACTGCTGCAAAAAGCTCCGAGAATAATAAAAAAAACTTTGTTTACTACTTCGCCCAAGAATAAACTCCTCAAAACTGAATTCCAGATTTTATTAACTGGGCTCCCACTGGGCTCCAGTATCATTTATCTAACAGATGAATCCCCCCCAAAAAAAATCAACCACTACCACTGCAGGTTGCATCTCATCACATATTCAGACACAGTGGGTTGATAAGTGCTGTCGACTGCGAGTGCATCTGCTCCCTGCCTCTCCAGACTCGTACAAACTGACAGGTGTAGTTCCCCGAACCGACCGTCTGCTGCTGTCAGTCGATAGTTTCAGAGCAGAAAACGAACATCTTCATCACTGAGGCTCCGCCGGCAACCGACTGAAACATGAAGCTCGCTCGGTTTTTGTAGGTGCAGAGAGAATAAGTCTTATGAAGGCACGACCTCCGCGAGCGTGAGGAAGCTGTGATTAGGTGAGCAATCATTAATGATTATTTAGACAGTTTCCTATTTTTTTATCTACTTGAGGAGCTGTAACAGTCAAACACTCATCATATTTGAAAAGACACTAGTTTAGCAAAAATTCAAATTTCAAAGAAATTGAAATTCAAGTTAAAATATGAAATCAAAATTCAGTAAAAACAAAAAGGCTCTCGAGTAAAAGTGTTTTTCTAAAAATAAATAACTGAGTCAGCCGACCTGATTTCGTCAGGCAGGTCGCTCCAGAGCCTCGGGGCCCAGACTTCAAACTCTTCCCCCTTCGGTTTTCATCCAGGTTTCTGGGACAGAGAGCAGACCCCCGGCCTGAGGATCTCGAGGTGTGAGCCGGTGAGAGGGGAACTAAAGGTCGGATGTCGAACATGGAGAGAGGCCTCGACGAAGAGCTTTACAATGTTGTAAAATCTCATCTGCAAACATTCTGGGAGCCAGTGCAAAGAAAGCTAACGCAGTAATCCAGATGTGATGAGACGCAGGATGGTTTCAGCGTCTTTATATATAAAAGTACAATTACTTTGTTACTGTAATTTACATTGTTATGGATCTGTACTCTACTCCACTACAGTTTTACAATGAATCGCACATTGTTTTTTATATAAATACATTTAGTAAACTTCTCCCTGACGAGACGGGAACTGGTTCACTCATCCAATCAGAGCAGGCAGGTAACATTAGGCCCCGCCTCCTTCATTTAGGTAAGAGGCCACCATCGAGACTCAACCATAATAATGTAGGAGACAAACATCAGGGAGCAGGAGAGTACTTTTGCTTTTAACACTTAAAGGTCCAGTGTGTAAGATTCAGGTGAAAGGGAACTATTGGCAGAAATGTAATGTAGAATAATCGTCTTGATGTTTTCACTAGTTAATTTCATCTAAATTATATGAATTGTAGTTTTCTTTACCCCAGAAAAGTCCCTTTATATTCAATTACTTTATATTTACATCGAGGGGACCCTCTCTACGGAGGGCGCCATGTTTTTTACATTAGTCCAGACTGAACAAACTAAACACGTTTTGAGTTTTTATGACAATTAAAGTCTACCACAGGTTCTTCTTCATGTTTGGAAGGAAAGGGGGTGGATGAGTGGTGTTCAGCTGCAACATGACACCTCAACACTAGATATCACTAAATTCTACACACTGTACCTTTAAGTATAAGTATTATTTACTAAAGTATATAATTAAAAGCAAGTACTAACTTGCTAATAAACCATAACGACTGAAAACGAATGCATTTTATTTATTAATTTGACAGAAGCTTTTATCCAAAGCGACTCACAACACGAGGCACAACACTCGAGCCTCACTTTGTTGGAGACCTTGAAGCACAAAGAGCCAAATCTGTTCAATCAGACTGAAGGAGATCAGTTAAGAGGAGCAATTAGTCCACAGTAAGTGGGAGTCGAGCACGTTCAGGTGTTAGGAGAGAACATCAGCTGCTTCATCCATGCTTCACTGTAAGTGGCTCATTCATTAGCTTTGTTTGCCACCAGCTGACAAATAACGTCCCATCAGATTTATACAGAGAACTGTATTAAAGGGAAGGCAGAGCAGGACGTTACAGCAGCGATCAGCTGATTTTGTTTGTCTACAGAACGACAGTTTGTGTGGTTGGATGTGGTCCCTTCAGCCTGAGACCCCAGAGTACCTTAAAGGTATATATTTTAAGAACGGCCCCTAAAGAGCAGAGTCCGAACAACAACTGCCCGAAGGCGGACTGAAGACATCATGTTCTGCAGGAACACTGTGACCTCCTCCTCTGACCACCTGAGCCTGATCAGTTCGTCCTTGAATGACGTTTGTACCAAATTTGAAAAAATCTTGAGGTCACAGGAATGAGACGGATGCTTTCAGATCACCGGCACGGAGGCATGAAAAAAACTCATTAACTTTCAACGAAGCCGTTTTTAGCGTCTCTTGATGACATCACTAAAAAAAGCTTTCTGGTCCCCCTCACAGGGAAAATGTGAAATCACCATTTCTCTAAATGCAGCGCTCCCGGTCTCAGAGCCACTAACACCAACACTGTGCCGCATTATCACGGTAACATCTTCCAAAGTCCCAGCTCTTTGCTCTGAGCTCATCTCAGTTCACCCGGCGCATCCGCTGCTCCGAGGTCGTCTCCATCCTCCGTTCCAAGAAAAACAAGATGCCATTAAGACGCCGGTCAACAGAGTGAAACGACTGCAGTGTTGTAGTGTTCAGTGACTGCATGTTGCTGATGGGTGTACAGTGTCTCCACCAGGTGATACAGTATATGCCTGTGGCAGAGCGATCAATAAGTGAGTGCAGACTGCTGGAGAGAGAAGAGGGAGGAGACGCCTCGACTACAGCACTGCTCTATGTGTTCTCCTGTTCATTTAGAAAGTTATTGTCTTCTGTTCTGATGTATTTTTTAATGTATTCTACAGTTTCAGCATTTTTTTTCTTTATTTATTCACAGCAACAAACTCTGCTGTGTTTTACTAACTATCACTGGATGAAATCCCAATTTGATGTAGGATTTAGTGACAAATAGCTGCATAATAAGGCTCCGCCGTGGCTTTAAGTTGCTGGTGCATAGCCAATTACACAGAGCGACTGCCAAGCCCATATTGAAAACCAACATTGAGAGTGATTAAGGTGGGTTGAAGCCCAGACGAGCCGGCACCACAGCTTACAAAGTTGGGCAGATCAGAGGGAGTCTGAGGTGAACGTTATCCGATACTGGAGGATTGTGGAATAGTGGACTGTCTTAATCAGCGTCTCCTCCCGATAACAAACAAACAAGAAGAAAAGATTAAAGCGGATTGTACTGATTAAAGTAGTTTCCTTTTCCCGATTCAAAATCTGCAGTAAGTATTGCAACAACATTATGAAAACAAATAAATGCATTAAAATAACTACCAGAAGTTCACAAACTTAACGCTACACATCGTCTGGGTTTAGCTTCAGACCAGGAGCGAGATAACTAAAGTATTTTTTTATGTTTCTTGATTGAAAATTTGTCAAAGTCATTCCTCGCTCCAAATAAATGATTTGCAAAACGTTCTGTCAAACCTAAAACCTAACACGATAATTCACCTGCTACTTACCTGAAGGCGGAACTTTACGTGGAACAAATTTAGCTACTTTAGCGATTCCCTTGCCACAAACCGCGAAGTAATAAAGTTGATCATTAATGAAAAGTGTAGAAAAGAACCTCGTCTTTCTCAAAGCAGATACAGAACTGAGTCAGAGCCTCAAAGTCCCACATCCGCCTGCTGCGTTAACCCAGTTTGTTTCTGCCTTCCCAGAACACTTCTCCTGCTCAGCCCCTACGAGAGCTCACATCATAACGCTGAAAGATAAAGTGACGATATGGAAAACACTTTTTTTTTAAAACACAATTAAATCTAGCATCTCTAAATCCCACTAACGAGCACGTCACAGCAATTAATGGAATCAAAGCTAAAACGTTTTCCTCGAAGCTGAGGCAGCATGTGTCGTCATTCAGTGATGCTCGAAACAAGACGGACAGATGTTTAAAAAATTGTTGCATGGACGACAGGACAGCTCTTCAAAACTGAGCCACAAGATCCCGCCCCCTGGTGGGTGGCAGAAGTATCTGTAATAAACCTGGGACATGAGACAAACCATAAAGTCAGAGAAAGTTTGGTTTGAGGTGTAAACTATAAACGTCGTGATTGACAGCTGAGATTGTCGAGCACTTGTATCAGTGAGACCTCAACTGGGAAGCTCCGCCCCTTAAAGCTGCCGTGCCGACAGTAACGTTCAGGTGACAAAGTCGAGCATCTGAGGATCAATGGTTTGATGAAGATCAGACTTTCTAACTCCGCAGGGCGCCGTTCACTTCCTGTCTCTAAATACAGGAGAACAGTCAACATGTTTTTCTTCTAACGATGACTTTAACCACATCATGTGACCATGATGGACCCAAATAGCAGAAACCTGACACGGGAGGAAGTTCAGAAAATTCTAAGTGATCAATCAGACAAACTTACAGTCGGATGGTTCAGGCACCAAGAAACTCAGGAATCCAAACTCGAGTTCCAGGAAGCAAAACACAGGAAACACGGAGAGGAGACACCAGGAGAGACAAAGGGTGAGGAGCAGGGAGGTGAATGATTGGACTCAGGTGAAACACATCAGAGCAGAACAATCACAGGAGCAGGAAACCAGTCTAAGACAGGAAGTAAAGCACGGTAAGAGACTCCAGAGTAAAACAGGAAGTACCGGCAAAAGTCAAGAGAGAGGGAAAATAAAAACTAAAAGTCCAACCCCCTAAAAAGTCCTAAAAGAAACTAAATTTAAAAGTCCAACGAGTCTTTGCCAAGTCGTTTGCAGGGGCAGGTCCAAACAGAACGACCTCTGACCTTAACATAAATGAAAACAACAAATCACAAAACACATGGACGGTGCATTCATCCAATCAGCAGCGAGCCAGGTGCCTACATTAATTTGTTAGAAATGAATGCTGTTGTTTTTTCTTACTTGCTGTATTAGTTTGCGATTTGCCATTTTTAATTGTTGTCGTGTTTTGTGATTTGCACTTCAGCGCCTCCACAAAACTGTAATCCTTCCCTAAACCAGGTTGTCCCTGGACACAGCAGCAGATAAGTCACAACCAGATCTTCTCTGTAGCACTGTCACAATCTCAAACTGTCTCCTACATGCAGCTGCATTAAATTCTGTGATGCACCACCTGAATTACTGCACAGCTCATGTCAGAGGGTTTGTGTGAATTTCAAGTACATACAAGTCATTCTAGGAATTCATTGTATTCTTGAAAATAAAACTCAGCCTAGAAAAAAAAAAGAAAAGATGTCGGGTAGTATTACACGAATAAAACTTGGCAGTAAAAATAAAAGTTCAAGTGGGTTCACCTCCGTGAATTCCCCCGTGCTCCTCTACAACATTTCATCCCAGCGAGTGACACCAAACACAGCCTAATAAAGTTGGACAGAAACACAAAAGACTTTCTGCACTTTTGGAAATAAGTCAGGATACGCTGATGAATATGTATTAGGTTCAGTTTGAACCGATGCAGCACATGTGTAAAGTGAATTCCTCCAGAAACCGACTCTGATGGGAACAACCTCACACTCACACGAGACGATCTAACGTCGGCAATCCGCTGAGTGGGAGCGACTGATACATTTATCTGAGAAACAGAAAGTGGAAGCTGGGAGGAATTTTAAGAGTGGACAAAAAAAAAAATGGGAGGAAAGTATAAAGGAGACTCTGGGGAAAGTTGGGACGATGGAGGAAGAATGAAAGGAAGAAAGATTTGTGAGGAGAAAAGGGGGGGGGGTGTAGTGGTGGTGACAAAGACGTGGGGAGAGGAGGACACCTTGAGAAGGAGGAAGATGAGGAGTAAATGACAGACGTTCAGGGACGTGAGCAGCCGTTCAGCTGAGGTGCAAGTTTTCTGTGAGGGAGTTCGCTACAGAGGAACATAACTGGTGTACTAGTATTAAAAAATCATATAAATTTAATGAGAAAAATCATAATATCACAAGAATAAAGTTGTAAAACGACGAGAAAAACAGATATATTTATATTTGATATTATATATATGAGGTGTTCTGCTGGTAAATATCGGTGAGTCTTTGAAACAAAGGAGGCAGTGATGTGTGGTGAATGTTCTTGGTGATTTCCCTATTGATCTCTCACACACACACACATATACACAAACATACACACACACACACACACACACAGACACACACACACACTCCTGCATTAGTTTTAGTCCCATTAGATCAACATTGGGACGATTAAAAGACTTTGGAACACATGGTTTTCTTGGAGGAAGTTCACTTTTCAAAAAATGTGTGTGAGCAAAGTGGTCCGGGATCCTCCAGGTGTTTAAAAGCTGCGGACACACACACACACACACACACACACACACACACACACACACACACAGACACACACACACACACACTGACTGTTGCACCTCAGGAGGTGGAGGATCTAATCATTTTGGCAGGAAGCTTTTAACATCAGTGCCAGTGCTTCATTCAGCAGACTTGCTCCCATCAGCCCCTCTCGTGCATCACGACGGGGCCTGACAATAAAACAAACGCACCCGACCACAGGAGAGGAGCGGGAGGTGCCACATGAAAGCATCAGCTGTTCCTCAGCAAACATACATCTCATCATGGAATACGTATTTGTAGTTTGAAGATAACGAGTAAAACCCTTCGAATGCGTTTGATTAAAATCTCAGCGGCTGCACTTTGGCCTGTTCGGACTCCTCGGCCCTCGTTTGCTCGCCCTCTGTCTGTGGTCGGTTTAGACGAAGCTGCCAAGTAATTAAAAACAAATGAGTGAAATCTCTGCACATTCCAGCTGCTTTCTGTTGTCCGCTGGTGTTTTCACCAGCAACCTGCTGAGCAATTAACTCGATTCCTCGCGGTGACGTTAAAATAAAGGAAAATCAGGAGAAAGTTGAAATGCTTCCGAAGATCCACCGTTCTGTGACTGACCTCTGGGACGTCCGCTGAAGTCAGGACCTCAGCACAGAGACACAGTGTGTGAGCAGAATCCCTCCACTCTCACGGGGTTTTTGTTTTTATGCCTTCATGACAAACCCCGAGATAATTACTGCGTTTATAATCCACTGTCTCTGAACATTTGTGATTCTTCTCAGGGCTTATGCAAATTTTGCCTTGCTCTAAAAATAATGAACATAGTTTTTGTCAGAATCGCACACGGCTGCGGCGTGTGCTTTATTTGTAAGTGGCCAGGCAGCATAATGAGGTGCTGCGTGCAGGAATACACAACATTATATAACAGCCCATCAGAGAGCACTGAAATGGCACAAATAACGCTCAGGACCACGCTGCTGCACAGAGAGGACACCTAATCTGACGCTGCGGGGACCGGCTTCACTTTCAGCAACTGCTGGATTTTCTCGTTTTAAAACAAAAGTGTGATGATCCTCACTGTTGCCGAATCACTTTCAAAGCCGATATTGAATCATACATCTGTGGAACAGCATCCGGAAGCATTGTGTAAGATGTATTATAGATATGATAAAGCAGGGCCGGGAAGTTATTTCTTCTTTATGGTTTGGTTGTGGTAATGTCATCAGACAAAGTCATGCATCTGTCAGCACTTCAGCTGCATTTAAAGAGGCTTTATGTTTATGAATGTCAGCGTGTACGTTAATGGTGCTTATGGAAATGTTTGGAATATGTTGCGACGCGCCCGTCAGTGGCGACAATGAAATCTTATGGGGCAACTGCGACAGTCCATGAAAGGCTTAAAAAGTTATTCTGGGTCTTTGCCAACATGACACAGGTCTCACTCAAGTTTCACTCTCCAGTCTCCTGAGACTTGGGTTCTTGCCGGAAGATGGAGGCAGAAAAGTGAGTGAACGAGAGAGAGAAAGATTTGGAAAGAGGTTAGAAGAAGAGCTCCTACACACAGAGAGAGAGAGAGAGAGAGAGAGAGAGAGAGAGAGAGGCAACCAGGGGGACCTGATGCCCAAAGAGGAGGCCATTTATTGGGTTGGACATATTGCGGAAGTTGCCCCATAAGATTTCATCGATTACTGCCGTTCACTTACACATCCACATTTTTAAAACACGGAGTCCACACTGAAAAATAATTCTTTATCCACTCACAGGCAGCAGCCCAGATGTTCTTCTCCCCAGCCACAAAGTAATCCCTCGGCACTCTGGGGTCAGATGGGATATGCAATTCCCTCGACGTGTTCTGGGCCACCGCAGTACGGGGAAGTGGCCCCTGTTGCCTCACCGCAAGAAGGTTCCTGGTTCAAATCCTGGTTTGCCTCTCGTCCTTCTGCGTGGTCGGTTGTGTGTTCGACTAAATTGAGAGTCGGGGTGAATGGTTGTTTCTGTATGTTGTCGTCAATTACCAACCGACCTAATCCTTAATCTCTTGGACTGTGGGAGTTAAATTGTGAACGTGTGTTAGTTTCTTCACTCAAGAAAGTTTTTCGAAGAACGTGAATTATTTTAATTGATCAAACGTTTCCAGCATATTATATCCAGGGTTGCTTTGCCTGCTTGAAGCTGTGACCTTTTCCCCTGAGGCAGAGTATTGATTTGCAATATGTTAACATGTTTGCGGAAAAACAGATGCAAGTTCCTAATCTAACAGGATATAGATCACAACGCTGAGAGAAGTGGTCTCCACTGATCTCATGTTAATTTGATCATTTACAGCCATTTATGCCCGAGCACGACACAGCGATTAACAGGGCCTCATGGGAAACTGTAACAATATCAGACGTGTTCTTGACTAATTGAGAAATTGCCCATATGTCCTTCTGGTGTGCCCTTGGGCAAGGCACTTAATCCTGCAACCTGCCTCCAATGATGCCAACAGCAGATGGGTCAATCGAGCGTACAGCCCCTCTGCTTAGGAACGGAATCGGACCTACGAGAATGTGACGGTGATAATACCCCCCCCCCCCCCCCCCCCCACCCACACACACACACACACACACAAGTGACATCCAGCCTCTGGCCACCATTTGGTGCATTATTCAGCCTAAAAGCTTGTTAGGCAGAGCTCACAACGGAATCACAATGAAAGATTGATGCGTAAAAAACAGTTAAGTTTGCCGGCGTTATGCAAAGCAAGCGGTTGAGAGGCGGGCGTGTAAAGGCAGAGCTGGAGAAACAGCACGAGGAAGCTGAGACACACGACGACAAACACAACAACCACACGCAAAAGATACGAAAGAGTGAGTGACAACGAACAACGAGGGGAGAGACGCAAGGAATCCTGGAAAACCAGAGAGGAATCTGAAAAGACAGAGAGCGAGGGGGAGAGAGAGGGAGAGAACAAGGGAGAGGACGAGAGAGAGGACGAGGGAGAGGGAGCGGTCTCAGATGAATTAATCAAGTTCTCCCTCAGGCTCAAGCTAACATCTCCAGATGAGACACAACTTACAACCTCTCCACAACCAAGTCAGCACACACACTCACACACACACACACA